CTGTGTTCCTATATAAGTTCCATAGGGCTTTTAACTCAGGTTGAGTACGTATAGGATTGTGGCCTTATAACATCAAAGATTTTCTAAATTTTTGATTAGAATTTCCTTTCCACAATAAAATATTTTGTCTAGGTTTAAAACAAAAAAAATCTGCAACTCAAAAAGTCAGCCTCTGTGCACCTAACTTTCAACCAAAATAAATCTTGCCATTAAAGCATAGCAGTGGTGGTAGAGGTGGTCATTTTTAAACATCTTGAGTGTGGTAAGCATGGTTTGGACAAACATTTCTCTGTGCTGAAAACAAATGCCATGAAATGGAGCAAATACATGTTGAAATTGCTTTTTCAAGCTGTATTTGCTCCAATCCAAAGCATTTGTTTTCCAAGGGATTTACACTTGTATTTCTGACTTCATTGTAAGGTATTTTGGTCGGTATAACAAAAGACTCAAGCAAGTTGTGGGGTAATAGAAACACCATGGCGAAGTCAGCAGAGTCCCTTTGCTCTCACCATTCCCTCTCCAGGCAAACAGATTACTAGCCGTGTCAGCTCTGAGTCAGGGCCAGTCTAAATTCAAAAATTCGGCTTCTTACCATGAAAGATTTCATATGTAGGATCCTGTCTTCCTACATTTGTGCCGTTTTCCCCTTAGTTGAGACTAACTCATATTGTGCTCCCAAGGCAATCGCCTTACTGAAGCTGAATCTAGGCAACACTTGTAGAAGAGACTACATGGGAGCTTGTTGATGGAAGAATGGTGGGATATGAAATACCAATGTAAAAACAATGGTGCGGCATTTTCAGCCCACATGGACAATGTGCATATTTGTCACCAGAGATGTATGGGAAATCCAACATGTTTTCACCGTTCAACACCCTGCATTCACAGTTTGCCAGCCCTGATTTGCTGTGATGTGAACTGAGCAAGCTTGGAGACTCTGGTCACAAAGGTGGGCTGTGATTTGTGCATTTATGAAACAAACTGCTAAAGAAATTTGGGTAAAATCAGTAGTTTTGTTCAAATTGGTACCTGAAAAGCATGGGGTATGCACCCATTTTTGAGATGGAAATCAACAGAAAACCCTCCAACTCAGCCTGATTTTGATACTCAGATAAGAAGGTAGGCAGTCTGTCAACCTCAAACAATCCAGACTTCCCAGCATCAGCACCCTATTTGTGACTTGGTTCTTCCAGTTATTTTATTTCTGTCAAGTGGGCTGTGCTACATAGCAATGGAAAGAAAGAGTCTCTAGCTTCCCCCCACTTCTGTTCCTGGCCATTATCTGTGAAGTGAAGTTGAAGGAATACAATTAAGTTCTCGAATGATGTCCATTCATTTTCCCTGGGAGAAAGAGAAAAGGAAAGCGCCAAAATTAAAGAAAAAATAAATCACAATTTTGTTAGAATGTCCTTACTTTTTTCCAGTACTGTTCACAGGCTTGCCCTTTTTTTTCCTCTTTTAGGTGTACAAAACTCATTTTTAGCAGATTATATGTAGAATAGCTATAAATATTACTTGGAAGCTGTTAGCCACTGCTAGCCCAAGACATTTTGATGCTGAAGGCAAACAACAAGATTTCCCACTCATCTACCCCAACTTACATACAGAGTTTGATGGGATGGGAAGTTGAATCTTACTTTGACACTGGAGATAGTACAGCATTCTCCTTAGGGCACACCAAGACAGCTTAAAGGCAAATTACATGGCTCACATAGCTTTGTTCCTGAACTCTAGGTTGCTGTTCCCCATCCTCTAACATCTGTGGCTTGAGGCAGCTGCCTCACTCTGGCTATAGTAGGCCCAGTTCTGCTGTTGGCTGACCCAGAGAGGAAGCTTTTTTGTTTGCTTGCTTCCTCTTACTTGCAAGATATGTTCTACTTCATTTGGTGGTTTTTTCCCCCTTTGTCAAGATACAATATATGTTTCTGTTTCTTCCCTTCTTTCGGAACATTACAAATATTTAAGCAATCACATAAATAGCTTGCTTTTAGGAAGAACTGTTTTAAAACTCAAATACCTAAACCTCCTGTAGGCAAATGCAATGATTCCCAGTTTCATGGCCACCTTTGCCTGCCCCAGCACCAGTGTTGCTGTCATCTGGGTTGTATATGTTTGTGTCTGTCAAGAGTTAATTTTCTTTTTGCAAATGTTAGCTATGAAAGCATCCAAGACCTCCACCTTGATATGATTCCTAACAGATTAGGGATATTAGATAATTTCCTTCTATTTATTGTAACAGTGCACTGTATTATCTTTCTATCACTCAGATAATTACAAAGGAAATCTACATTACCCCCCCTTTTTTTGGCTAGCTTAAGGACTTGCTAAACATTGGCCTGATGCACTGACATTTTACACAACCAAAGTTTTCCTCCTGTCATCATACAGTAAATAAAAAGATATTTATCAAAACTGCTTGTTCATGAGTTCTTGAAGAACAAAAGCAAATAAAATACAAGTTGTGTAGAACCTAAAGGCTTTCCTAAGTGAAACAAAATTAAGGACTCTGAAGCCTCAAGTACTGTACATATTAAACACATTCAAATAAGATGTTGTTTGCTAAATTATGAATGTGTGTAATTAAAATCTAGTGGCTGTTTCTATGAAAGATTTACAATGTTATTTCATCGTTTGTCATGGCTAATTAACAATATTAGATGAAGTTTTTCTTCTTCAAAGGTCTGATTTTTTTCTCATTTATTTATGTCAGAAGTGATAAACAGAGTAGTTAAAAGCTTCTCTGGGTACAGTAGTGAGAAAAGCAACATGTTCTTTTACACCTCAAAGGTTCAAGGGTCAGATCCCATCGGAGTCTAGCAACTTGTCTTCTTCCAATGGTGAATAATTTTTTTTTTTTTTTTTGCAAGGGCTGGTATTAAAAAAAAAAGAACAGCACAGGAGAGAGAATTGTGAATTGATTGATCGCATGACAGAAAGAGCCACTATGGAATATGCAATAAATTAACCAATTGGAGCTTTAATAGCTGAGGCAATTCTTTAATAAGTAAATAGAGCATAACATAAAGGTTTTTTTCATTACAATGTGGTTTATATAATATGATAGTGTGATCTTACATGCCATGTTTGTGCTTTTTAGCCTGAAAGTCTATAAGAATTTCCCCAACAAGAAATCAAACCAAGGTTTTGAACTGTAAAAGTGACCAGTAAAAAGACATGAGAATGAGAGTCAATTCCATCATTGCATTTTTTACAAGTTTTGGAAGAATGTGAACACAATAAGAAACATTACTATACATGCAACATTAACAGTTAAGTGCCTGCCCAAGCCATTGATGGCATACTAATTCTGCACATGCAAACTCATTTGACATTACATGGGATACCACCAGCATGTCTTTTTTGTATAATTGGTGCTTCAATTAAATCAGGCCATGTTTGCCAAGATAAAGAAGTACTTGTGGATGTTTCAGGAAAAAAGTGAAGTTGCAGTAGGAAAAAATTTAGTGTCGTTTTCCTAGATTTTAACTAGGAAACAAAAGACTATTTTGGGCACACGTAAATTGATTTCTCTCTCTTTCCATTGGAGTAGTGGATCCACATGCCACATTGCAAATTTTTCTAGTAAATCCTCCCAAACCTCAAGAGTAGCTCGCTATGCAATATGGAACCTGGGGTCCAAGGGTCAAACAACACAAATCTGGGCACAGGACCCTGTAAGACAGGGTCCTCAAACTCTTTCAACATGGGGCCAGTTGAAAGGTGCCGGAGGTGGGCGTGGGCCAGCAAGGCAGTGCCGGTGGCGGGCGCAGGCTGGTGAGGGGGTGGGAGAGGGGGTGGGCGCGTGTGGCGAGGCGGTGCCAGCTTGCTTGATCGGAGACTGTTTTCTCTGAGTCCGAAACAATCTCCATGCGAGCAAGCCACTGCCTCACCGGCAGTAGGTGCAGGCGTAGCAAGTCCAAAACCTCTGAGGCGGGCCGCGGGCTGAATCTGGTCTGCGGGCCATAGTTTGAGGACCCATGCTCTAAGGACTAGAACAGGGGTGGCCAGACTTGCTGAACAGAATAGCCACATACACTAAATGTCAGATGGTGGACAGTGGCACCACCAGGTGCCCACAGGTGGCAGCAGGGGGGTGGCAAGCTGTAAAACAAACTCAAAGAGTCACATGCAGCTTGTGAGCCTCAGTTTGGCCACCTCTGGTCTAGAATTTTTATGTATTAAAGCTAGAATTGTTCATACCTTTTAGTGAAAGCTTCTAGAGGCCCCCAGTGCCTAGAGGTCCCAGTAGGCATTGCTGTTTAAACTCTGGAGCATAAGAAAGTGTCACAGCTTAGGTGTGACACTGAGTACAAATCTACAAAAAATAAAATTTGGTCACGATACTGAAGTTAATAAAGCTACAAATCCAGCCAGTGTTTGGGGGATTACCTTAGCAAGCCTAACCCCTGACTCCCCGAACCCAGTGTGGCCTACCCGCATGGGTTATACCTAGTCATGGTCTTGACAGCAACCTGGGTTTTACACGTTGAATGAGCCAGCAAAGGGGGAGATGCATCAAGCTCCTGCAAGGCTGCCACACTTAATGCATGAGAAGAATTCCGTTAGTGGGGCACTTCACAGTTTTAGCCATTTGCTATGCCTGTACAACTATGTTGTTTCTGTGGAAGTGCATCGGTTAGGGAATTTCCTTAGGCAGATTTATCTGGCAGCAACACTGCTTTCTTTTAGACACTAAATCTGACCTGTTTGCTTGAGCTTTTAACAGCAATTAATGCAAACTGGCTTCATTTTTTGCCAGTCCCTGAATTCTTTATTTTAGTCTGTTAAATCTTTATTGTAGCTTTAAGTATATTTGCAAGTTTCCTCGAAGGCTATCATGGTGGAAAAGTGAGATGATGCGTGTGCATGTGAGGCATGTTCATCTTAATCTTTATTGGCTTTTAAGAGAGCTGGAGAAGGGGATATTTATGCAATGCTGGATTTTCTTTTTGCCTCTTTGTGTGTGCATTTATATATATATATATTTGTTCATTTTGCAGCCACAGCAGCAACAGGTGACTTCACAGCAGTTGGCCTTTCAGCAGCAGCTTTTACAGATGCAACAGCTGCAGCAACAGCACCTCCTGTCCTTGCAACGCCAAGGTCTGCTCACAATTCAGCCTGGCCAGCCTACCTTGCCATTGCAGCCTCTTGCTCAAGGTACTTGCAAAGCTTTTAGGGCTGCTGTTGTGTGATGTGAAACATTTTCTGGCTTAACTGTAATCTGACAAACTACTTTAGCATTACAAAGTTATCCAGTGTTAGAAAAGCATCTTGTTGATACTTCCTACTTTTCTGTTTAAAAGATGGGCAGACCTCTAAGGAGATTTTTTTTTTCCTGATTGTAGTCCTTCAGCACTAATGTTCATACCTCATGTGTCTATCTTGTCCATGTTAGGAGATCTTTATTTAGTATAGACGATCACTGGTGCCAGAAAATAGTCAAGCTGATGTTTTCAAATCTGATCAGCTTCATTTAGACCTAAACCAGGCATTACTTTGAAGATGTAGTTAACAGTTATACAGTTTACAGTTTTATATAAATAAATATTACTGTAGACTAAGCTCAGGGGTCCTGATCCCGATTTGGACCCTGTCTTGTGAGGACAGACAGTCTTTGACCCTCCTGCTCCTTTCCAGATCTTCATTGGGTTGTGGGACGTTGATGAAAGCTCTGTATCTTTTCAGTAATGTTCTTGGTGTAAGAATAAGCAAAATTAAAAGTTAAGCAGGTAAAGAATTCTGTGAAACTTAAATGGTTTCATAACTTATTGTTGCATTATGTGTTTGACAGTGGATGTGATATGAAAGTTGCATATCTTCATCCTACCTTTTAAAATATGTTTACCTGTATTTACAACCCTTGAGTCATACATCAGTTCAAGCCATTACAATTAAAAAGGGTCACTGTTTGTTTGGCTTTGAAGAATTTCATAGTATTTAAAATACTATTCCATTGGATCTAAAAGACTTTCCTCCGATCACTTCAAATCTCTAAGTTTCAGTAGCCATCTACATGGCTCTAATTAGCTTAGTTGGTCAATTTTGTTCAGGCTTCTGGTTGTATTCTCAACATTCTCTCTTCCTGCTCCCAAATTTCTATGTTCATATATAATGTGATAGTCAAAATTATGTGGTTTGCAGCCCTGCCCTGCCCTTTCCATATTGTGAGAACAGACGTTTTTTCTCCCCCCTCCCCCACAACCCTGAATTCACTGATGGAAGTCTTTAAAAGTCATGGTGTCCAGTTGTGAGCTAATTTACAGGATTCAACCTGAGTGCAACTTGAATGCAATCCTTTTTCTTATGTGTGTTATCCTCTGTCCCCCTCCTTCACTCCCATGAAGAAAATTAGCACATGAACTATGAGTTATTGCATTTATTTAAACTCAGGGTCCCCTAGTACATTGACTGTGCATCAAGTGCAGGTGAAAGTATTCAAGACCTAGTCCTGCTTTGGATTTCCTTCTGCGTAAAATCCCTCGTGTCATATAACAGGCCCAAAGTCCTGGTGGCTTTATGAGGGAAATGATGTCTATGCGCTCCAAACTCTCACTGTTCCTGAGTAAAGCCGGACCACTGGGAATTGTACTTGGTGTCAGATGAATTATTAACAGCATCAACAAAAAACCTCTCTTGGGGTGGCAGAATTACAGAAGAAAGCATGCAGGCTAGTTCCATATAGCATGAGTTAATTATACCTTTTTTATTATTGGTAAGCAACACCATAAATTATTCTTACATACCAACCCAGTAGACTGTGGACTCTCCCTTTCTAATTTTTCTTCCACAGTTCCTATTCTGTTAAGTCCGCTTGGTGTGGTTCATTGTACAGTACATCAGTTAAGCTGTCCAAAAGAGGGCAATTGGGCAGTGACAAGACACGCTCATGTGTAATGCGAAAGAAATGAATGTGGTGATGCATGAAGTGTAATCTCTGCAGCAACACATCAGAGAGACCAGTAGGTAATTCAGCAGCCATGACATTGATTGATAGGCCTCACAGTGTTCTATAACTATTAGTTCCCACAACATTAGGAAGGGGCATATTTAAAAAAATGATGAGCACCAGAGATCAGAGAAACATAAACAAAGGGCAGTTTTGTTGGTCAGTGGATACTATGATTTAGCCCTTTTTTGATCACTTTTGATTCTGTTGGGGTATAGGGGAAAGAGGGAAGAAAGTGTAACTTGAGAATTCAGGCAGGTCAAAATACAATACATTTTCTTTATCAGAGGGAGATATCCGATGGCTTAAAAGTGATGTCATTATGAGGTTTAAATCAACTTTCTGCTTGCTTGAACATGGTCACCTGGGTATGGATGTACAAGGACAAAATGAGGTTGAGCAAGTCTTAAGTTGCCTTTGAGCCAGCGAATACCTGGGGTTGTGAAATCGAGTTCCACGAACAGTAATCTGTCAACTGTCCCTACAACATACATTTTTTAAGCTTGAGCCTGCATTTTCTTTTATAACGAAGAAGATACTTCTAGGGGGAAAATGCAGCAAAGAAGTGTGTGAAAGCCCTATTCTGTAATCATAATTGGCAATGAGCACTTAAATTATAGACATCCAGTTCATAACTGGTAACTGTTTAAAATACAGAAGGAACCTTTACTGACTGGAGGTATATGTGCACTTAAATACATCATGTTAAAGCAGTTGCTATCTCAGTGTCTTGGGTCTGAAATCAAAGCCGGAAAGAAACATTTTAATTTTTTTAAAATCCTTGCCTATGATCTTGCCTAAATAGCATATATACCAGTATATAATTTGTGTGATCATTATTGCTTTTCCAGTCAGAAAGGTCAATAATCTAGATGATATATCTGTACCCAAAATCAGGAAACTGCATTTCAAAAATATTTCAGACAAGTGGAGCAAGCTTTCTAGAAACAGGCTATGCAATGTAAACCTAAGGGGGAAGTGTTCATATTCCTGCTAGGTAAGCTGTGTTCTAAAGTCAATGGAACTTGTGTCTGAGGACATATGTTTTAGGGTTGGTGTATTTATTGTCCTCCTGTCTATGTTGTAGCATAAGACAGCTATGGATATTTGCTCTCTGTTTCTACTTGCCAAATTGCTGGAACAGTTTTAGAAGTCAGATTAAAAATGCGGTTCTGTCTGATGTTATTCAAGTATTGGTGGGTTTCATGTGACTTTAATACTATTCACATCGTTTATGCTCTATCATTAGCAGAGAGCCACCTCATTTAATAATGTTTGGAGATGCTTAACCAATTTCTCTAACTTTTTATCAAATACATTTGTTTATTCATGTATTTTGATTGTTTTGTAGAGATAAAATGGAGAGGAGAAGAGTATTATGTTCCTTGATTGCCTTGAAGGAGGAACAAAGTCAGAGTGTGCATGCAATGTAATACTAATAAAAATAAAATAATTGCTTGCTAAACAATTCATAACATTGTCGCAAGATGTGACCATGTCACATCTTTGTGGCAATCAGATTCTGTTGCCCATTTCCATTTGATCTGCCATAGCCATGCCTACAACCTGCTCTAGCTGCTTTTACAAGGAATTTGTCTCACTTTTATTTAAAAATTGAAGGCTTGTTTACATTATTTTGTACATACATATAGTCCTGATTAATGTTGCTTAATTAGAAAACTGCAGTAGTGGTTTTAGATAAACTCTGGTGTAGGTTTGCAATTTGCAACTTCATCCCTATTGATGCTGATATATTGATAGACTTTCTGCAATTTTTAAGATATGTTCTAACAAGATCATGCAGCAATTTAGAAATGCCTTTTAAAATCTAGAATTATGTGTATGGAGATGGACGATGACAAGAATAAGAAGAAAATCAGCAAAAATCTTTTTCTCATATCACTAAATCCCCCCATATAAAAATTATGTTGACTTACGTGTTCTGATATCAATATATTCCCATGAACAGACAAGTCCATTCACTATTGTTTCAACTGAGTAAACAGTGGTGAAAGGGTCAGTCATATTCACAGGTAATTGTTAGTGTGGAGACAGTCCTGTCAAGCGTGTTAGCTAAAAATACATCCCACACTGTCACTTTGCAAGGTGTTTGAAAATAATAGCTCAGTTGCAGCTAAACAGGACACAGGACTGTGTTGCGACCTTTCCCTTTGTTTAAATTGCTTCAGAGGCTTAATTTCAGGGGACAAGTAATAATTGAATATGTCTAATAACTAAATGCTCATATGGGATGAAATCCATCAAAATATAATTGGCATTTGATTTTATGAAAAGAGAAAAGAATGGCTTCATAGCAAAGATGTATCTTGAGACTATCTTATTACTTAATGTATAAATTGAAGCATCTTTTAAAATATATACTAATTGCAAACACTGAAAGTATTTTTGTAATTTTTTTTTTTGTCAGCCCACTAGCAACGACCAAATGTTTTTGTTAATGCTACTCTCAGAAAGGCGGGGAAGGTTATTGGTCTGTCGTGCAATAATTTACTCCTCTTTGATATGCAAACGATCCACGGTGAATATAAAAAAAATCCTATCAGACTCATTTCACAGTTCTTAACCACTTAGATTCTCTGGAGTCTATCGCCTCATTAGACCAGTGCTCTCCAAAGCTAGCATAATTAAAATCTTTAACAGTTTAGCAAAGTAAAGATGTTTGGCTGATCACGTTGAGATGATTATCTAGCCATTGTATTCTAAATGACAAAAATAAATTAAATTTAGACCTTGGCATTTTTTATTATGTGTTACAAATGAATATAATGCATACTGCCTTTATTTTAATGCCTTAGGTTTGGTAAGAGACATGTCTGCTTCAGACATGAATGTATATTTGAAAATGGCAAGTCCTCCCCTCCCCCCACAAGAGAAATCACTGCAAGGATAAGAATATAGGCATTGGAAACAAAGCGGCTAGATCCATTTGCCTCCACACTCCTAGTTATTCATAAGAAATTAATTTATTTTTGAAAAAATTACTGGTTCCACATGGTTTCAATACTTATTCTAAACTTTTGAAGATCTTACCCCAGATCCCCGTGCCAGTTTACAATGGTACACTGCTTTACTTTGAAATTTTGACCTGCAGAACTATTATATAATTTCAAACTAGTCTGTAGTGTCATCAGAAGATAGAATTGATAAGGTGTGCCATTTGGATCAGTGCATAAGTTAACTTGTAACTTCTATTTAGCCTGTTGAATTTTTTCATATCGCTTACGCTCCTGAAATTGGCTATCCATTTTTTCCTAAAGAAATATTTCTTAATTTTTTTGTTTTCATTTCAGTTCCAATGGCTCATTAGCACTGATCAAGAAATGACAGTAATAATAATAGTGTTACTTGTATAGAAACTTGCACAGTGTTTTATTTTTCACTAGACACATCCATCAATTAAGTGAGCAGTGCTAGAAACCAAAATTAATGAGAAAGATAGGTATGTTAATGAAATAATCATAGTATAATCAATTTGACTGTTAAAATTCAAAAAGCATTTCATGAAGACAATGTGAATTCATAATTTATGTCTAAAAGTGATTAATAAAAACTGTATTTAATAACAAAGCTATTTGTCATCATTTACAATTTAAGCACAAAATTAGTCACATGTTGTCATAATAACACATAGGAATACATTTATTGAAGGCCTCCCTTGCCTCTAACAAGAGGTTAACATTTATTCTTTAGTCTTTCAGAAAAGGAAATACTATTTATTTAGAGTCTTCATCTTCCCAATAAAACTTGGAAGTGTGCATAAATTGTGCAGTTTAACTCTCAACTCAAACTTTATTTTCCATGGGTACAAAGATATTGGCTCTATCAGTCTGGAAAATTTCTTTCCACATGTTTTCCCACAGGAAATTACTACAAATTAAATGTTTCTTTTTGGTAACAAACAGTTTAACATAAAACGTGAGATGTTGTTTATGTATTAAGGCCCAAATTGGTGATGAATAATGGATCTTTAAGGATAAAGAAGTTGTTTCATGATAAAGCTGACCAATGATAGTCTAGTATTATCTACTTCAGTGGCAGCTTTTATGCATTTTGGCCAGAAATATCTGTAAACTGTATTATTTCCCTGGAATGAGCCTGAACATATGAAGTCTGTGCACTGCATTGCATCCTCAGATGGCAGCCATGTCTGTGCCCAGTAGGAATTGTACCCCAAGGTAGTGAGGTTCTTCACCTGTTCGGGTTGTATGTGCAAACTGTGGCCATGCAAATTATTCACCTGTAGAAACAAGGAGAGTGTACTAGTTCCCCAATATCTGTTGCATGCATACATGCCAAAACATTAAAAAAAATAATGATCTCATGGGACAACTTGTTCAAAGATCAAGGTGACGCATGGTTTTATTTAGTTAACACAATGTATGTTTTTCCATGAATGTAAAAAAGGGCAGCCTGAAGTCATTGGCATGGCCAGCATCAGCATTTTGCATCAAAGAGCAGTTGCCAGGATTTCAGAGTCGATGTGAGACTCTGATGTGAGACTTCACTTTAATTTTCCAAAATGCTCTGGGGTGAAAATGTTGAAAACCCACTGAAATGTGCAGTTGACCCTGGCTGGTAGGCATGTTGGACTTAATTTGCAGTACTAGAAACAGTTACTCTTGCATGTAAAAGTTAATCATGCAGGGGTGGTATGTAAAGAAAGGGCAAAGTATTGAAAGCATGTTCCTTATATGAAATTATTTTTGGTTTCATATATTAAAAATTGAAGATTACAAATATTAGAAAATTGTTTTTCAAATATAATACTGTTTTGGCTTTGAGAAGTAGCCGCACAAATCCACCCAAGTCTATTAAGATCTCCATGTTGCACCCCAGCCTCCAGCTTACCTTTAGTATGCAGGGAAAGTTTATATATAAGTACAGTTTATATACAATGTTGACTGAGGGACAATTGTTAATATTACCGCATTTCAGTGGTTTTATGTGGCATCTAGCATTTATTTCTCAGCATTTGAAAAAAATAATCTCCCATACTAAGTTTGGTTTTCTGACTTTGATTTTAATTGCTGTTTGAAGAGGGCTAAATTAGCTGTTAATTGATTTTAAATATTCATTTTTATTTCAGGCATGATTCCAACTGAATTGCAGCAACTCTGGAAAGAAGTGACTGGTTCTCACACAGCAGAGGAAGCTGCAGGAAACAACCACAGCAGCTTGGACTTGTCAACAACATGTATCTCCTCCTCAGCATCTTCTAAGACCTCTTTAATAATAAACCCACATGCCTCAACAAATGGACAACTATCAGTCCACACTCCTAAAAGGGAGAGGTAAGTGTTGGAATTTTTCCTTACCTCTGTCCAGAGCAGCATTACATTTTATCATTCTTGTGTTGGTTGTTTAAAGGCGCCTCTGCTTGTTTTGCTGAGATCCTATTTTTTCGTGTGTGTGTGTGTGTGTGACAGTAGATTAACACAAGGAAGAAAGTGGACATGCAGATTTGTTACATGATTATGAGTACAGTTCAGGGACTTTTTTTAATTCCAGCTTCACTTGTAAGAGAAAGGGGTTAACTTTAATTGTTCCAATAAGGTTACTGCTGTTATCACCAACATACTGAGGAATTGTTGATTGCCTCTACCAAACAAACAAAAAACTCAATTGTGGCTTTTGGTTAGTTTACAAAATATAAATGTTTATCTACATGTGTTCAACTAAATGCTTTGATTCATGTGTAGGTGTGCACTTCACATTTCTTTTAAAAAGAGCAATAGGTGATTCTTCATTTTTGCTATTATAGTCAGAATTGCTGCAGTTTATGCAGTTGCTGTTATAGTTATCCATGTGAGTTAGTTATTGAGTGGACAAACTATGTCTTATGTCACAACACATTTCTACTGTTACTTAAGTTTCATGTTGTTAATCCCATTGTTCCCTCTAGGGTGTAGCAGGCTACTTCTTCAAAGGTATATATTGTCATAAATTGGACATGGAACTCTTGTTGTGTACCATCGGTAGCTTGATGAATATTGTGCTGTGAGCATAAGTACATGTATATAGGCTTGTGTTCTCACACAGGACTAAGACAAAATTCTGAAGAATCCTGGATTATTGTTGTCAGCTGCATATTCATACATACAGCCTGAGTACTCAGCTTCTCCACCAGCAGTAGTGACTAAACTAACCAGGAAATGAAAGCCTCCTTGCCATCCCAACTGGGACTCCTGGCTTGTCCTACCCCACTCTGGCCCAAATCACAGCTGTTTCTTGTGGGCGTACCATTCTGGCTTATTTTTGTATGGCATGCTTTGCTTTTGCTTCCCGATTAAGGCCCTTCCACTGGTGAGAGAAGCCGAATAGGAACGGTGAGGCTGTACGCATCAGGATGAAGCTCCTGAACAGGATTTTCCAGAATTCTGGTTGAACTGTTGCATGTAGGCACCAGCATAATTTTCTAACAGTGGGCTTACCTCAAAGTTAATCAAATCTATTAGTTGTTAAAAGTGTTGTTAATTATTTTTGTTGAACTTTCTGTGTTCCCCTAGAGAAAAAGAATGGTTAGACTCTACAACCAGTTTTTGCTTTTGTTATTCTTTTTTTGTGCGCATATTATTTGTGCGCAAATAATTGTATTTTCATCAGTGTTTGTTAATTCACACTCTGATGTGCAAAATGTACTGGAATGGTTTAGGTATGTAAAGTGCCACACTAAATAATATCCCCCAAATTTCTACCATCTTTGTTCATTTGCAATCTGTATTCCTTTGGAATTCATTTGAAGAAAATGAAATACTGCAGTCACAACCCTCTATTGATAGAAGGCTCCTTGATCCAACAGTCCTGCCAGGAATCCCCCAAACATCCCATTAGTTGAATATTTGCTGTTCTTTAAGTGAACTTTTAGTATTAGAGATATCTAGGCATCATTGGGATTTCAGCCTCCCTATTTCCTTTGGCTGGACTAGGATCTTTTTTTTTTTCTTTCATTGCTTGGAAGGCCAAGTATTTTGAGTTGTGCCCCCTCCACCCCGTTACACACACACACACACACACTCTCTCTCTCTCACTCACTCTCATTTGGACTTTTATTCTAATTGGATATGCTTGAACTATAGGAGGTAGTGTTGCAAAAAGTTATCCTGAGGTTCAGAAATATTATGTCAGTCCAGGGTGGGTGGGAGCCTTGGCTTTCAGGAGAGGTGACCTGAGGGACTCTGCTGCCTACTAGAGTCCAGGTCCACAATGAAGGAAAGGGTACATGTCTGCACTGAGAAGGATCTTTTCCACTTTGAGATTGTACAGGATCATAACTGAAAGTGAATTAACTGTTTTATTTAACATCTTCAGTTATTTGTAGGTGAGGTTTTTTGTTGATGTGTTTCCTGGCCAAAATTTTCCTAGTCAAGTGATTTGAAAGAACGTTGGTAAGGCAAGCATGTAAGCACATCTTGTGCCTTTCTTGCATGAAGAAAACAAAGCTGTCATGTATGGATGTAAAATACTTAAGAACATTTTTTAAATGGAGATATTATCATATATGGTGTCTGTTACTTAGGCAGAGAGGACTTCGTCCTGTTTTTGTTGGTGTACATTTGTGCATGTCTGTCAAATGAAATATGTTCACTATAGTACCGGAAGTCTGGGTTTTGGTAGAGGACGGGATACATTAAAACTGTCTTGGCTTCTTCCAGTATATAACAAAGGGGAGAGGGAATCATAGTAAATACTGTTTGAATGTTTTTGTGTGGATTGAATTGAAGAGTAAAGATTACACGATGACAGGAATTTCTTTATTAGATTTTAATAATGTGCAGTTCATTACAGATGTGCTCTTCTGTGTATGACTGATAGTTCACATTTTGTGTCAAGCCACCTATCTACTTTATTCCATGGCATGAATAACTCTGTATGTTCACCAAATTGCATGCCTATAGGAATGGCCTCCTTTGGCAGAACTAGAAACTAGACATTGAGAAGAGTAGATGTGTACAAGGGTCAAAAGCATTTTTCTTTTCATTTTAGGAGACTGCTATGTTCTGCGTTGGGAAGTGGTTTCTTACGTATAGGGTTAGTCAACATGTAGCACTGTCTAAGACAGTGGTTTTCAACCTTTCCACAGCTGGGGACCAGCAAAAACAGGAAAACCAACCACCTTGGGGACCACTGAGACACAAACAAAAAGTGCCATGCACATAATTTAGTATTCTGTGTATTAGTTTCCAAACACATTACTGAAAAAATGAAAATTTTCCAAAACAATCAGAAACCAAGCAACAAAAAATGGCAACAAAAGAACAAAATACAGAAATCAGCATGGCATGGCTCCCTGCTGGCTCCCACTGACTTGTCTCTTCCCTCCCTGCCCCCCCCCCCAGTGCACTCCCTGTGAATGTGATGTCAACCAAGGAAGAGGTGGTGGAGCACAGCCAACCCCCGCACTCGTCTGTTGCAAGCTGGATGTGGCCCCCCACAGACCAGCAGGAAACCTCCCGTGAGCCAGTGCTGGTCCCCAGACTGGTGGTTGAAAACCACTTGGTCTAAGGCAGGGGTCGGCAACTTTAAACACACAAAGAGCCATTTGGACCCGTTTTCCACAGAAAAGAAAACACCAGGAGCCGCAAAACCATTTTGACATCTAAAATGAAGATAACATTTGCATCTATCATTTTTTACCTTTATGCCATGTATAAAAAAAACTATAGTGTGTTGCATCTCCATCCAGATATTTTTCAGCAAAGGCTGTGTGTTTATTCTGGAAATGTCTTGCAACATTTGACTTTTTGTTGTTTGCCAAGTTCTCACCACATATTAAGCATACTGGTAAACCAGTCTCGTCAGCAGTGAAAGCAAAAGAATCTGCCCACGTATCATTAAACGTCCTGTTTACTTCTGAAACTTTTCTTTTCTTTTCTTGGATTTATCCATGGTTGGCCTACCGGGAGTCAAAAAGCTCAATAAATCACGTGCCGGCAGGTGTCCTACATTGGTGGTTGTGATGCATATTTTGCACAACAGGGAGCCGCAGCAGAGGGATGAAAGAGCCACATGCAGCTCCAGAGCCGTGGGTTGCTGACCCCGGTCTTAAGGGATCACATGTTGTCTTATGAATCTGCCCAGGCATTCAGATAGAAATAGTTTGACCCTCAGGTGCACTCCGCTCCATTGATTCTGTGGAAGTTCTGTGTGCCTTTGTACCCCACAGGCATTAATTAACAGCTTCTTGGGCTTGCATTTAGCAAACTGTTCCCCGTTTTGGTGATGTATGATCTGATCTTATTCCAAGAGATTCAGCAGACCCATTCTATCAGGAGTGCAGAACCTCAGGCCCACAAGCCTAATCTGGTTCTGATCAAGTCCTCTGGTGTCGCCAGATGATCACATCCCTTTCCATATCCCATCACTTTCCACAAGTGCAACTCTGTGTTTTCCAGCTTTTCAGTGTTCTGAAAGGTTGGAATTAGTTTCCTGACTCTTCACTACTAGGGGTGGGAGTAATCTAAAGCATGCTGGCATTTTTTGTATTTTGGCCCAACCCACTGCCTTTGGTCTCACCTCATTATTCCTTCAACCCTCACAGCCCACTGGGATGCAGCCCCCAAGAGCTTTAATGCAGCTCTTGGGCTGAAAGAGGTACCAACATTACAGGTTTAGTTTCGAAACTAACAAAATTGGTTGTATTCATTTGACTTTTTTAGTGAGCACTAAAACTCAAGGGAAAATAGTACCTCTTACATGTCACCTTCAAAACATGTTCTTCCTTTTAAAATTTAAATGCCACTTTGCTGTTTGATACATTACAATGTGGTGGCTTAAAATTAGCTCAGAAGGAAAACATGGAAACAAATGCTGGCATAATTCTATATCATATAAGACTATAAAAAATAGAGAAGCAGCTCTAACTTCTAGTGAAATTGATTCATATGCAGTGCTGTATCAGTGATTTCGGTGTTGAGTGGAATGATTCCCTAATCCTTTTCAAATCCATCAAAATATTAAAAGATGGAAGACTCAGAGTAAAAGAGGGCATGGGTGTAGGTTACTTCCCTTCTCTTTGGTGTATCTGAGATTGGCACCATCAATTTGCAATAGTGTGATTGAATTACCCTTTTGTCTATAAGAAGAGCAGGCGAAAACATACTGAGGAATGCCGACTGAGGCACTTAAGGTTTCTGTTGCTGTCTTGCCAGGCAATGTGGTGCCTGCCTAGATATCATATGACACATAAAACTCTGCTTGTTTAGCTACTTACTTGCCTATTCTGCTGAGTATTCAGGGCACCATATGATCAGTGAAAAGGAAAAAAAACGGTCTATGATATAAGGTGTGTGTG